GGGTCCTGGCAGTCAGGAATTCCCCTTGAAGCAGGGCTGGGTTTGTAAGAGGTATGACTGAGATTCTTCTGGGTGCTGTAAGTTATTGAAGTACCACTCTTAACCGTTTGGTTAACCTTGTATTCTCCAAACCTCCAAGCAGATAGGATTGTTTGAGTCAAATTCAGATAGCCATTAGGACCGGTGATAAATCTCAGCCCCACTTACTGAATGTATGGGAGGTCTGATATCATTTATATACTGCACTTCCCTGTGATGTTAAAAGTACATCAAGGGCTACGTCGGAGGTCCTGTTGAGGTGAGCACTTTCCTCAAATGTGGGCCACTCAGCATTGATCCTGTACATATGTCTACACGGTGTCAAACTGAAAGTTTTCAGCTCATATCCTAATCTCCGAAAGGTGCAGCATCTAAAGCAGCTTGTCATTCGAGTTTGTGCCACATTGGTGTACTTGTACAATCAATACCTAGGTCAGAGGGCTTTGCATTGGACCTTAACCAGTAGCGGGCAGTGCAGTGAACTTGCCCCAGCATGGTTTGTTGTTTCAGTGGAAAAATTAACAGCAACCACTTTCCTTTAACACAGTTGGACTTTAAAAATGCTGACCGGCGGTGGTACGTTTTCCCTATATTTGCATGAAATTCCTTGTTGCGTTGTCCTTTTTCTAACACTATGTAATATACCCACTAAGATGTTTTTCATTTGTAAAAAGGAGTTATCAGATGACACTTCTGCTAACGGTAATTGATTTGATTTTTAATTATTTTAACATGTTTTTGAGAGTACATGTTGTTAAGAATCTAGATCTAAGCATTTATTTTGAGGAGGAATCCTAGTACATACAGGCACTGACTCCGAGCCAGTTGTGCCTTTTTTCACCAAGGTCTGTTCTTAGCAGAGTACTTGAGCTGCACTCATGTGGCCACATGTGTGTGCCAGCGCTTTTACATTGGTCTTCAAGGATGGAAGGGGGCCGCAGGCCTTCAGCAACATTTTTCTTAGTATTTATAGTTTATTGTTTACACTATTGACCTGGCTTGCAAAACCACAACAAATTTCAATGTATTTCAATAACTATTTTGGATACAAATGATATGAAATAAATGAATGAACGCCTTAAAGGTTACAAATTGTACCCTCCCTAAAATTAGAAAAGCAATCCACCCAATATTAACTGCCAGTTATTCGTCAGCAACGAAGAGTGGTATCCAGCCACTGGTAGGTCATGAAACCAAACAGAATCTACCGTCCATTTGCCAGTCCAGATGCCCCAATCCAAAGAGTTTTGCATTGACATGGATGTCATAGATTTCACTGGAATATTCATAGAAGGTTACATTAACTGACCTCTCCTTTTGCAAGTTCATGTGAAACTTTCAAAATGTATTCATGTTTGACGTCTGCCTGTATATATAAGCCTTGTTAGATGTGTAGGACTTGTAACGATCATTTCTACATGTAAAAATGTTCACTGCTTCTTTCTTACGAGTAAGATGTATAATTATATGTCTTTTGTATGTATTTATTATTTGTTGCACCAGTACTATTTACTATCAGATGGTTTACCAGCTGATAAATGTTGTAGAAGTTGATATTAAAATCCTCAAACACAGTACGTTTTCGTTTGAAGAATGACAGTGTCGCACAGTTTGGGCAGAAGACTTGTACTTATGTCCCTGGGTTTCGAAAGTTGACAGAGGTCTGCAGTTAACCGTGGGTAAGTGACGTGGGGCAGAATTCTCCCTAACTTTTTTTTCGAATATGGTGGCAATGCCGTTTTTCTCGTGCCGAGGCTTCAGGAGTTTTTGAACCAATGTCTTGCCATCATTTTGACACCAATCTCGCAAAATGCCAACTGTTTGGAGGCAGGTTAGCCCAAAATGTGTACTTTTCCCATTGAAGAGCTCAGCGCATAGAGCCAGCAAGTGTAAGGCCATGAACCTTGGGCGGCCATAACAAAAATATCAAATCTTGGATTTGATTGAAATTTCACTGATGTAACCAAAATGAGCAGCTTTAAAACACGTACCAAGTTTTAAGAAAACGATCGGGTGTGGAACAGCCGAGTTCAGAAAGCGCCCCCTAGACTGTGTGTGACTCTGAAAAACGACCGCATCTTTGGGGGTTAAAGGTAGTTGATTATTTTCAATTGTTGATTGCTAGATAAGAGCAGCAATGGACTGCTATTGATGACGAGCCACCTAGTGGTTCTGTTTGCTGATTTCGTGAAGTTTTTTGTAAAGGTTGAACTTTAATTGCGGGCTCGGACAAACAGCAGGTGAGTAGATGGAAGGGAGGGAGGCAGATTGCGGCAGGTTGGAGATTTTGGTAGAATAAAAATGAACGATGATCATTGCAGAAAAACCGAGACGACAAGATGATTTTGGATGCGTAAACCAGCACGGTGAAATTATAGTACATGAACATGTGAAGAGGTACATATACACCTTGGAAACTTCACTATGGCAAGGACTCAAGAACAGACCAAGAACCAAATTTGTGGGGGTCAAAATCGTTTTTTTTTGGGGGGGGGCAAAATTTTCGGATTTCTAATTATACAACCTTCTATTGCTTTTCAGACGGTTGCGGCTACATTTTGGTGCGTGTTATTCTTTTACATGATTTTCAAAGAAGGAAAATTTGATCGACTAGAAAATTGACTTTCATCATTTCCCCTTTCCAAAAGGTTTTTTCCCACATTGCTGATTCGCCCTTTTACCGACTTTAAACCTGCAAACCGTAATCAGTTGCAATTGGCTTCTAAGCAATAAAGCAATAAGAAAGTGAAGCGCTTGACTCTGACCTAGGTTTGGGTGAACTTTGCCAGTCATTACCTGTTGGAATGATTCTGCGACAGGTTCAGAAGGTCTGTTTGCCGAAGATACCGAAAGCAAATTGATTTTTTTTTTTTTTTTTGCGAGAGCTGCGATTGCGCCTTCTCAGTTATTGACGGCCGCCAGCAAGATGCTGTGTTACCTTTTATTTGGCAAGGGTAAGATGGCTGCCGGTGGCGTCAATAGGCTGAACACGGGCACTACGAGTCCTTTTTAAAAAATACATGAATGACGCCCGTGCCTCAGGGAGACATTCCCGTATAAGGTTGTGCACAAAACTGTTCCAATTTTGATGACCCCAATTCCACTTTTCTCTGCGCCTACCACAATTTGTGTTTTGGACCACAATCAACCAATTTTTACTTCATTAAAAATTTGCCTCTTTCTGGGACACGGAACCTTGGGTAGACACTGAAAAGTCTCCTTAAACTGATACATCCCATGGTTGAATAATTATTATAAATTGTTCTTTCGGGCGTTTCTTTTGGTAGAATAACTTACGTTATAGACTAAAAAGATTACGTTTGTTTAATCATTCCAAATAAAGTAATTGGCGTTTGGTTTACCTGAGACAAACTTTTCATTGCTTGCAGTCGTTGAAACATATTGCCAGAGTTTCCATGGAGGGGTGAATTTTGGAGCACACGCTTTTCGATACTAATAGCAAGCTAAGATCTTAAACGTCAAAAATATTCCGTTAATAATTAAGGAATAATAGAGCAATTCATAGGGAAGTAATTAATCTTCATGGAAATTTGCCTGTCCTTGAAAAGTCAAAATCCAACTACGCGTTGTTTCGCCGGGCAATGTGCCTATTATCCATGACACGCTAAATCCGTCTCTTCGTGTAAACTGAAAATGCCACGCGCACCGTTTTGCCCATGGCGCGCTAATTTTGTCTGTTCATGACATAGAGCAACATGTACATGTATATATAAAACAGAACTTAATACAGCTCTATGGTTGGAGAAAACTGAATACCTGTGTGCGTTTTATTTTTGCCCAACTGAACACCTGTCCGCGCTTTCAATAGCAATTAAAGTTTATTTGTCTTTTTGTGAAAAGTTAACTGAAAATACAACTTGGCCGAAAATTTCCCTCGATTGATTTTAATGATCTCAAAGATTGTAACCATTTGACAAAAAAACCTCGCAAGGCAAGAAAAAGAATTTTAAAAAAATAGGCCAAATTCATCTTCCGCGAAACCTCTGACGATTTGGAGCCTCAAATAGCTAGAATACACAGGTGCAATTACATTGAAGGTATATTTAAAAGATGAAAGTGGACAAGTCTTGGCAACATCATAAGCACCGTTGAATTGAATTACGTTCAATGTTGATGCGGACAGAATGGATTGATTTCAATATAATGATTACTTTAAAATAGTAAGAAACGCATAATCATAAAAAATTATATTGTATGCATTTTGGAATGAACTCTTCGTATCATTTCGAGTCCCCTGACTTTGCATATGCATGTTTTTTTTGTTATGACGGTGTACATTTCTAAAAACGGCTCAAGTCGGGAATAAAAGATATGACCAAAAACGAATTTAAATTGTTGCATTCTTCAAACGAATTGCAGGGAAAGCTAAACTTGGCTTTGCCAGTTGCTTTGATATGAACACATGGAAATCATTTCTAATATAGGTTTTCCCGGTTAATTTAGCACTTTTTTTCATTTACAAGTGCTTAAACGAAAGTTCAATTTAATCTGAGAGGGGTTACTCGCCAAAAACGTTGATTCCAATTTCGAAATACATATGTAACACCACTAGATTTCACTTTCAGAGCACTGTAATTCACGAAAAGAACCATTCTCATCTTTCCAATGTATCGTTTGTTTCGTTGAATTGGAAAGCAAGTTCGTTTTTTATCATTCATTTTACCGATTTAACCATTCAAATTTGTCATAGAATGTACCGTTAAGGTGGTTTGAATTAGAGGTTATTTGGACGTCATTTTTGTTGCGATTCAACATTAACTAGAAAGAATAGGCCGAACAAATCAAACACAATAAATTACATGACTCACTGTTTTTTTTACATTCTCTTGTTGATTAGATTAAGTGCCAACGCTTTGTATACAAATTTATATCATTGACGAAATCGAATGATTAAAACAGTAAAATGAATGACAAAAAACGAAACTGCTTTTCCCATTCAACGCCATACCAGGAGTGAGACGGACATAACGATACATAAAACAACCAAGAATGGTTCTTTTCGTGAATTACGGTATTCTGAAAGTGATATCTAGTGGTGTTATTTCGAGATTGGAATCAATATTTAGGGCGAGTAACCATTATTTTGACGAAATTAAACTTTCGTTTAAGCACTCTTTAACCTGTAGATTGACGGATGTGAACACTCGTGGAAGCAGTGTCTATAATTATGAATTGTTCATGGATTGTTTTACAGGATTTCCTTCACATATCTGATATCAGTGTCAGCCAGTTTCTCCCTCATCTTTGACTTGACCAGAGCAATGTCCTCCTCAGAATACTCCTTTATTGCTTCGTTGCTCAAACCTGGAAAAGAAGGGGTGGAGAAAAGTAAACGTTCTGTAAAATTGAGTATAAGTAAGGCATGGAAAGATAAGTTTGATTTTAGTGTTAAATGAATATTATTAATTAAGCGAGTTCTTAGAGTTAAATGAGCCTGATCAAACCGATAAGCCAACTGCACATTCATTTAATGGGCGTTTTAGTTTGCAGGCTCCAGACAAAAACTAACTTTGTCATTTGGAGCTTTCCAAATGAATTAACACATATACATGTACACTTTGAACCCATAGATCCTGTCTCTCGATTTGCCAAAATGGAGTTTACGCAATGATTGCAATTTGTACTTTTTTTAATTGTATTCGTGCGCGCTTTCAGTAGTCAAAGTATTCCAGGCTACGATCAGTAAGAGAGTGCAGCGCAAAGTCTAAGCCATTTGTCAAAACCGGTGCTTCGTCCATGTTTCGTCTTTAATAATAATAATGATAATATAATTCATTTAAAGTGCGCATTTCCATAATACATGTTGAAAAGCGCACGACAAGTAAAATAAGAAAGGAGTAATAATTAGTTTCCATAAAATGACATAAATACATTAATTAATATTAAAGACTATTTATGATTCCATTAAAAACATTAATTTCAAATAAAACTATAGTCATCACACAATACTCTATCTAAAAACAACTATATCCAAAAAGTTACACAGTTACGACTATACTCAACTTTACATTGAGAGAACATAACAGTTATTTACGGAGTGTGGAAATGCTGCAGATTTCAAGTAAGTTGATTTTGACTGTTGACATGGCATCCAAAAATGTTTATCAACTTTTTAAAATATTAGCTTGTTAGGTTTGTTAGAAGACGAGTCCAATACACCCTGAGCGTTCCAGGAGCATAGAATGATGGTTGCTACATTGTGTTTAGCCAAATATAGCGTCACTCTCGAAAAAGCTCACAAAGAAATCCCTGTTTGTTTTTGTTCCCTCAAACGTCGCCCCCCCTCCCCAAAAAGTGGTTCTATATCCACACTAAAACCACAGTATACTTGCTAGGGATAATCTGTTTACTCTGAAACGGAGACAAATCGTTACACAAACTGAATTCTTGCAGGAAATAATCATACCTTTGTTAATGAGAGTTCCCACACCAGTGCCCTTGTTTGGTTGCGCCTCTGCCTCCATGGCTCTCATGACCTCCAAGGACGATCGCTCTTGAATCATGTCGAGTTGGTCCGCGGACAATGGGATTTCCAAGAAGTTAGCTATGGAAGTGACGGTTTGTCGAAAATTCTTGGCAAAAAAACAACAAAAACAAGGTTCTTGAAACTTCAACAAGGTTCTTGAAACTATGACTTGTCAAAGAACGCACAAGAGTTGTAATTAAATTAACTGCGAGTTAAATATTGACCACAGGCCATATTTAATAGTTCGACATTCACCCAAATCGTGTCTTAACAGGGAGACAGCTATTCGCACCAGGGTTGTGTATTAAATCTGTGTTTGTTTGTTTGTTTGTTTGTTTGTTTGTTTGTTTGTTTGTTGGGGTGTTTGTTGGGTTGTTTGTTGGGGTGTTGGGGTGTTTGTTTGTTTGTTGGGTTGTTGGCTTATTTATTTGTTTGTTGGTTAGTTTGTTTGCACTACAAACCAGGAGACTGTAGGTTTGAACCTAGCCCTAGCTGTCTGTGGATTTCATTGCAGGCTCTCCAACAACAGCCAGCGACGCGGAGCTCTCGCGACGGCAGTGTACATTCTTCCTTGTCGTCCTTATGCACAGAGCGCTGCATCATGGGCTCTTTGTTCGACCCACTGCTGTTACAGGCCAATCTCAATGGGCGGTTCAAGGGCAAATTTTTCGGAGAGGTGGGGTGTTTTTTTCGGGGGGCAAAGAACATGGATTTTTTGTTGAACCTTTTTATTGCCTTATGAGGATTTAGGCTATACTTCGCAGCTTTTCACTCGCTTTTGGAAGCATGGGAAATTAAATAGACCCACTAATTACTTTTCTCTTATTAAGCGGGGCAGAGGCTCCTGAGGGGGAACGACCCTTGTCAGACCCCCGGATCCGCCCTTGGACGTCGGGAAGAACAAATGCCTTTCACGATTTTTTTTTTCAAAAAGGGAAATGCGTCATACAGCTATAGGTCCAGAAAGCTTTGTGGATTATTTGCTGCATGTACCCGCAGTGCGCACGTGCAAACGTGAAATCGCATTGCTGTTATCTGCTGCAGCAAATTCTAATTGAAAGTGAACTAAAATTATTGTTATTTCTGGTAACGACGCCAAGGATTCGAACCCGGACCGCAGAGGTGGAAGGCGAGGAAAGAACCACTACGCCAACCTGACTCCTAAAAGCAAAAGTAATCTATAATTCATAAGAGATAAAGGGTGCTTACTTCTTTCAGATCTTCGTAGTAGACAAAGAGAAGGTTTTTTTGATGTCGTCTTTCCCAATAACTTCTGACATAATTCTGCCATACACAGTTACCTGAAATTTGTTGAAACCACAAACTAATAATAATCGAACTGATATCCTATGCTTTCTCTTCCGTTGTAAACTTGTTTTCTAAATTCAAACTTTTTTATATTATTTTTAGTAAGTAAATTGCAAATTGTCATTGGCGTAATTTTTGTCGGGGGTGGGGGTTTGGGAAAGGGGGTTGTAATTTGACATGAAAATTTGAAAAGCTGGGGTTTTACACAACAGTGACTCTATATAGTGGTCAATGTTCATGACATTAATGTGCATCTGTAATATGTATAAAATGGCATATTTATGGCTTTTTAAACATGTTTTTCCTTTTTTGAGTGATATTGAATGCATTTTAGTCGTTAAAAGGCTGATAACTTCTTCACAATGCACTTTGGTTTTTGTTCTCATCACGAGAAAGTCGAGAGATGATGCGATAGCCTCCCCCCCGTCAAAAAGTGGAGGCTAGGGATAGATAACCTTCTGCCCCAACCTCGGATTTGACACCACAACGCAAACTGACGTTCTATACAAGCGGAAATCGATGTTAGTTTTTGAAGGTAGTACACAGCTTAGTTATTACCACAAAAAATGTACTTTTCCTCATGGGCGTAAATCCTGGGGTGTGGGTGGGGGTGTATATCCCCTGCACTTTTTTTGGGGGGGTGGCTATTGAATCATCCCCTGACTTTCTCGTGGTGAGAAAAAAAATTAAAGCAGCATGTGGTCGTAGGGAAGTTTGAACAATTCTTTTTTCAGACTTCCAAACAAAAATGTCCTCAATGGCACTCAAAAAGGGAGAATAATAATAGTCATAACAATGCTCCATGCATACTGATAGAGAAATATGCTTGAACGTATCTGTATCATAAACATCGCCCCCTAAATAGTGTCATATGTTGTCAGCCCCCCGCCCCTGCCATTTTCAAATTTCCAAAGCTGGGCAAGTCACCCCCCCATCCCCCATTCCCTAATTTCCGGCACAAAAATTACGCCACCGGTGTACCTGAAATCATTATTGAAGATTTCATTTTGTGTCGTCGAATGACGAACTGAAAAGGCTTCAACGGTTTAAGAAACTTAATACCACATCTTGTCACTGTGTCAAGGGGTATATGATTAGCATAGGGTCATTATTAACGTTAGTTTGAGTTGGTCAATCTGGAAAAACTGCATCACGTAAAAGCGACTCATTTCTGTAAATAGGTGCAAAATGATGTTTTTTTAAAAAGTAATGTCATCAAAATGAAATTTATCTCGTGGAAACAAATAGCAATATTTGTGATGTTTTCTTTGCAGTTAACTACAACTTATCGCAGCGACCACGAAATAGAAAGAAAAATATCTAACATCAGATTTACTTTTGCAGTCATTAATATTTTTTTCAGATGTTGATACACTTTTCATTATCCATGCAATGTTTGCAATTTTATTTTGTCACTCCAAAACATCAGTTTTCAAAGTCTTTCTTCGAATTTGGCTAATACTGGCCACCAACGTGTTGAACAGCACACGACAGTTAAGTTCACGAAAAACAAAACGCGCTGTTTCATCACAAGGAGTGATCATGAGATCTCATAAAATACCTTTCTATGTAAATTCCGTCATAAAAACTATTTAAAAATCTTATAAACAACTTGGCTGTTTATTACAAAATAAGTCCAGAAGAAAGTGTTCGACAGGGGCAATAACTGCACATGAACACTTTGGCTACACAGCCTAATAAAAGCAACTGCGCAAGCGTTAAATTTGCTGTTTTCAGCTCATACCAAGCACCAACGATGGCATGAATATTCAGCTTCCTATACTACCGTACACAACGTTTTAAGGACACAGATTACCAGCGAAATATTGCGGCGAAATTGGTTGTGAAACAGGTGGTGCGTAGCAAACATTCGCTGCACTCCGGCTACGGATGTACCGGGCATGCCAGAAAGCGGTAATTGGCCAGATGTTATAGCACGGGCAGTTCAAACTCCTGTTTGCTTCCTCAATGATATAATTAACCCGCCTTAACCCTTGGATCGGGGTTGCCACACAGGCCGATACATGTTCGACTTTTTGTAATGGTTGTCCAATCATGGCTGGGAGAAGTAAAATTAAGCACACAGCGGGAGCGGATGTTGTATAAAGTGCATACATAGTCGTGCGAAAGGCTGAAAAACGGTACGCAAAGTAAGTAGAGCGTAGGAGTTTGCGCTAGATCACAACAAAACTTACCGAACATTCGCTCATCCACAGCATTCTCCAGAAATGAAGAAAACGAAATTGGTTCAGTGAGTACACTTGGAATTAGCTTGAACAGAGACATAGACGTGTCGAAGGGGTTTCTCAGCATGAAGAGAATCTATACAGATAAAAATAATTAAGAAACAACTACCTGGTAAATTTCAAACGCACAATTACACTAAAGGAATCGCCCATGTCCCATTTTCACGGAAAAATCATACGTATACTGTTGTGGATAAAACGTGTGTTTGTTTTCTGTTTCGGGCGCTCTTGTTATTCTAAAACTAGGCCTTACCATTCACGTAGTCGAAAAGCCATTTTGAGGTATTGCTTGTCAACAAATTTCGATATCTTTGATCTTTGTACAATATTTTAAGATGCAATTTGAGTGAGGAGCAGTGGCGTAAATCTGTGTTGAGGGGATGGGGGAAGGTTCCCACAAGTATACATATGTAAGGGTGTGTGCACTTATACATGCCAGTGGGGCCTTGTGGGTACCGGAACAATGGGACGTACCCCACAAGGCCAGTTTTTACCTTGTGGAAAATTGGTACGCCACAAGAATTTCACGAAACTGATATTTGGAAATAACTCAAAATGGGGAAATTTTTGATGGGTAAAAATCCGTCGCAAATTGAAGTGTTTTATATAAGGGACGTATGGTCGAAATTTCAACCCAGGAAACTGATTCTGGTTTAAATTGGTGTGATTTGAAATTTTTTGCGTGTTGTGTAGGAGTTTTGTACACGAGAACAAAGGAAATAACCCACAAGTATAGCTGTGTAAGGATGAGTTTGTTTCTGCATTCAGTAAGGGACCCTGAACAATAGAGGACAA